TTGCATTCACATTTCTTTCTTTAAATATAGGAATTTATTTACAGGACAATAAATAACTGGTTTTGGTTTAGTTAATTCACATATCCACATAACACTGCATTGTGCCCCGACAAAGTGTGGAGCCTAAAGTGGAGTTTGAGAATTGTTTCAAAATGACCTTAGTTGAGGTTGATGGGAAACCATTAAAGGCCCTTGTTGACTCAGGAAGTACTCAGACTCTTGTGCACCGAGACTTTGTACCCGCAAATAAAGTTAATGTGGAGACAATCCCTGTTCGCTGCATTCATGGAGATGAGAGATCATATCCAACAGCAGATCTGTACATCAAGGTACAAGGACAAACGTATATTTTAAATATTGGTGTTGCAGAGAATCTGCCATTTCCAGTAGTGCTGGGTCGAGATCTGCCTGTGTTGTTTGACTTGCTGAATCCTAGTCATACATGCAATGTTGCAGTAACAAGAGCTCAAGCTAAGAAGAAAGAGGAGTCCCTACACCCACTCCGTGCCTTGCCCTTCTATGATGCGGACATAGAGACTGCACCCGGGAAGTCTCGTAAGTCACGTGGACAGAGAAGGCAAGAGAAGTTTCTACATACTGCTGTTCGAGAAGCTCCTAGCACAGAGCCTGAGTTACCTTTGGGTTTCAAAATCCCTGTTAATATTATTGAAATGCAACATGATGATCCATCTCTAACATCTCTGTTCCAGAAAGCTGCAGAGAGGAACCAAGGGACTGAGCAAGAATTGAACAGCAGGGGGGAGTTTCTGCTGAAAGATGGCATTCTGTATCGTCAGCGGGGTTCAGCATTGTAGTTGGTGGTTCCTAGAGCAGTCCAGAAGGTGGTGCTCTCCTTGGGACACTCCATTCCATGGGCTGGCCACTTGGGAAAGCACAAAACCATGGCCCGCTTTAGAAAATATTTTCATTGGCCTGGTGTGTGCTCGGATGTGACACTGTTCTGTAAAAGCTGCCCTCAGTGCCAGAAGTCTTCTCTTAAAATCCCCTCCAGAGCTCCTCTCCAGTCTCTACCAATTATCAGCACTCCATTTGAACGGCTAGGAATGGACATTGTTGGTCCTCTAGAAAGAAGCAAGGCAGGCAACCGTTACATGCTGGTTGTGACAGATTACGCTACAAAGTATTCAGAGGTCTTTCCTTTGAGATCAATAAAAGCCAAAGCAGTCGCCCTCTGTCTCATACAGTTCTTCTCAAGGGTTGGTTTTCCTCGTGAGATTCTTACTGACCGTGGCACTAACTTTATGTCCACTTTGTTGAAGCAGGTGTACCAGCTCCTTGGGATTAAGAGCCTGAGGACAACGCCATACCACCTCAGACAGATGGCCTAACAGAGTGCTTCAGTCAGACTCTGAAACAAATGAAACTGGTACAGACTGGGATCAGTGGCTGCCCTACCTCCTCTTTGCATATAGAGAAGTACCCCAGGCTTCTACAGGTTTTTCACCTTTCGAACTATTGTATGGCCAAGAGGTACGAGGCCCCTTGTCTCTTCTAAGGGAGACTTGGGAGGGTGACCAAGAAAGATCACAGGCTGTCAATGTTGTCTCTTATGTTGTCCAGATGCGGGAACGGTTGGAGAAGATGACGGAGCTGGCCCAAGCCCACAAAGCGGAAGCACAGCAGCACCAGAAGGCCTGGTACGACCAGTCAGCTCGGCAAAGATCCTTCAGTCCTGGTGAGAAGGTGCTGGTGCTTCTTCCAAGTGATGACAGTAAGCTGTTAGCAAAGTGGCAAGGGCCATATGAGATCCAGAAGAAACTTGGACAAACAACCTATAAGGTCGCTATTTCAGATCAGCCCTGCTCCAGCAGAGTACTGCACATTAACCTGCTTAAGGAATGGGTGGAGAGACCAAAAGCAGATGTCTTTCTGATCCGGGAGGTTTCGGAGGAGGAGGAAGTGGATGATCAGTATCTGCCAAAACCCACTCCTCAGGACCTGGATCTCAACCATCTTCCTGAGGAAAGAC